CACTAACATAGGCAAGTTGCACTGTCCAGCTCTCTTGTGTTGACAACAAGTGAGCTATAGTCTAAACTCCTAAGGGGTTATATAGGGGGTTATATAGGGGATTATATAGGGGACTATTATAGGGTTATTAAGGAGGATACTAGGAGTTAAAACTATAGCACAAGTGTGCGCTAACTCCTAATGTACAACGTGGTCATTCATCGGCAACAAATCCACCCACGCATCATGCAGCATTGCCACGGGCCAAACACAGTCCGTTACTTAATTAGGACCCTACTCAACTCTTGCGCTTGGACATATGCCTTGCAGATGGCAAGGCCAGATTGGACACTTGGATCAGAATTGGCCCCTCTTCGCGTGAAGATGCAGAGAAAGACCTTATTCCTGGTTACACCGTCCATTGCTCTCCGTGAAATGATCTAGCATGCTGGCATGAGGTCCTTTACTCGGGAGTACAGCCATACTCTTGACTTGTGATTTGCTCAGATGTTTTTTAGTTACCTTCAAAGGTACCGCGTGCATATGTGGTATAGGTAGGGCAGTAGACCTGAAGGTACAGCAAAGCAGAAGTGCGAATGTCAAGCCCAGACCAGCCCATATCACGGTACTCAAGAGAGGAACCGTGTGCCAAGTCCAGGTTCCGGCTGCGAAAGGAAGCATAGTGCGCAAGGGTTGCGGAGCAACAGCCGCACCTGAGAATGTAGTCTCAACTCATTTCACAGGAGTACTTTGACGGGTGCGCATTTAGAGTTTTGCATATAGTTAGACTGAGCCCCTTTGTTGGCAGGATGCCGTGATAGTGGGCTTTGCCTCCCTGTGGGATGGCAACTGGTGAGTTGCGCGGCAGTTCCTCCGTGCTCTGCTAACTACATTCGTGCAAGTACACCAGCCGACATAGCAACAGTTCATGACAACAGTCGTAGTAGTCTTTCTGGCCACCATCCTGTCTTACTTTTCCTTTAGATTCTTGAGTTGCTTCTCGCAAATCAAAGACCTTGACTGCAGTTGTGAAGTCTTGGATTGACCGGACGTTTTGATCAACCTCTCGTCACTGAGCCCTCAGATCATCATCTGGGAACCTTGGCTTTCTAATGGGATAATGGAAAAGAAAATGGAAACTACTATAATCTTGGGGTTCTAATGGGATAATGGAAAAGAAAATGGAAACTACCATAATATTGGGGTTATAATGGGATAATGGAAAAGAAAATGGAAACTACTACAATATTGGGGTTATAGCGCGCAACTCATCAGGACCGTGCTTCGAAGGTGGGCACCATCGGGTGGCACGCCGTTCTTTACGTACTACGTGGGGGCTTCTCAAAATGATGGGTCATGAGGCGTTCCCATATTAAGAACGAAAGTGGCTGTTGAAGTAAAGACAAGACCCGATTCTTCAGAAGCTGCCATGTGGCAACAAAACCCTTCGTCTTTTTTCCTTTTGCGAGACAGCAGTCACGAAAAGACCACCATCGTTTCCGGATTTGCCTCCTGTTAGGGAAGCAAGGAATGAATTCCTACTCTAACCCCTCTACGAACCCCAACCATCCATTCCTTCAGTCTCTGAATCATAAACTCCAGGTTCCGTGCTGACAAGAGGCAAGTTAGGTTTCAAGGTTCGCGGCCGACTTAGGTAAGTAGGCGTAAGTACTGGTGATGTTAGCTGAGCACCTACAGGGCACAGGTCGAAGAATGATGCGACGAGGATTTGGCAACTATGCGATAACTGGTTCAATGTTAGGGATCCTTTATACTTCCGAAACCTGCGAGGCCGGAGAACGTGAAGTATCTCGCAGCTGAAATTTTCCGGCGCGCTTCATTCGGCCTGGGACTGGGTATCCACCTCTCATGACAGGAGTCTCACATAATTCAATTGTTGTGAGGGTGCTTGCAACCCGACTTGGTAGGAACCACTTTTGGAGAAGGGCCTAGGCAGGTGGACTTCTCTAGTGTCATTATTCAGATGCACAGCGTTTATCCAGCCCACAAGATCTACGTATTACTTCTCATTCAGTTTCACAAGGTACTTTCAACATGTAGACTCTTCTTGTGCTGCTCGTCCCAAGCCTCTGCCGCAACTCAAGGTTTCCTCTTGTTGGTTTTTGAGGCACGAGTCCTGCTAATCCCTGTTGATGATCCAAAAAGTCTCTAGTTTCTGAGTAGTCTCACGGCGGCTAGGCTGGGGCTCTTTGCAGCTAAGCTGATGCTCTGCTTATGTCTTATCATTTTGATTTCTTTCCGTCCTATTCTCATCAAGACATTCAGCCCAACCTCACTTTGAATTCTGAAGGCCACAACTCTGTGCGGATCCTGAATAAAGGCCGCTACGTGTCTGGCACCCGGACCAATTTCAAGGGGTCGGCTGTGTAGCGGTGCTTCTTTGCGGTTGCCATATTCGCGGTGTCTTCTTGCAGTGCAAATATGATAACATCAACAGACAAGTCCAGATTCCTCATGTAGCAAGGGTCAGCCGCTGGTCCCTGTGCTCGGTTCGTCCCAGTCATGTTGAAGTTGTTTTGGGGTCTACGATGGACCATTAAAGTTCCTTTCTGTGCTTCAGGATAGAAAACCCACCCCTCAGCGAATTCTTCTCCCTATAAGTATTTCTTTCCTTGCATGCCCTTGCAGCAGTGACAATTTCGTATTGAGGATCTGCAGCAGGGGAGCAGAAGGGATCTTTATGCTGTGTCGTGCTTGTAACAAGTTGACAACGAGATCAACCATGTCTGCAGCCAGACTCTGTGCAATGAGAGTCGTGTGCAGTTCTAGCTCTTATGGCCGCATGCTCGGTCCACCTGCTTTAGCCTACAGCTTGCGGCCACCAACTCATTTATGTATCATGACCCATCCCCCAACACCGATCCTACCCGCTCGTACAGATAGCTATGTGGGTTTGTGCATGCAGGCTCCCGTGGAGTTCCGGAGATGGTTTTGTTTGTACTAATTTGTTTGAGCTTAAGGTATAGGGTTGACATGCAAGCATACCCTCGCCAATTTGAATGATGACAGGGTTCAGAGCAGGAAGACCCTCCAGGACATCTTCTCTTGCTGCCCGTACAAGAGTTTTCTCATCTGGGTATCTTTTCAAAATTCGCTCGTCTGATTAACGTTCGCAAGATTGCATCCCTTATCGCAGGGACCCTAACAAGAGCTTGCTCACGTCCAGAAGAAAGCAGGTCCTAGATTCCGACGCAACCCGCTAATGACAAGGTAGGCACACAGCAGGGACCACTAAGTAGTTCTCAGACGCAGTGCGGAGACAGGACAGGTCATGCTGACCTCGATGCCCATTGATCTCGACGTTGAGCGTCCAATACACAAGCAGGGGGTTCTACATTAGAGCCCGGCGTCCTGAGACAATCGGGCTCCAGATTTTAACCCTAGTGAACTTACCTGCAGGCTTCGGCAGATGTCCTGCAAGCCATATATGCTGCAGCCAGAGTGGCAGCTTCCCGAGGCAGGTGTAACTGTCTAGGCGTTCAGGTTTTAGCGCATTTACGGTCTAAGGGTGCCTAGGGCTGAGGGTTTAAGGGTTCTGGGGGTTTTGAGTGCAGCCGCTTTAAGGTTTTGAGGTGGTTTAGGTCGATGAGTTAATGCCACCGGCTTCCGGGCAGGGGTTCAGGGTTAGGGATTTTGGGATGACGTTCAGAGCTTTGGGATGATCATGTTTGAAGTTAAGGCTATTTGGGGTCTAGGGTATGGCGGGTATCTGTGTAGAGCTGAGGGTTAGGTAGCCAAAGGGTTTAGGGTCCCAGGGGTAAGGGGCTCTGTGATTTTTGGGTGTTGAGTCTAGGGCTCTGCGCTCAAGTTGTACCAGGGCAATCCGTCAGCCTGACTGTGTGCCAGAGTTTGACGTATACCAGCCAACTTGATTTAAGGTCGAAATCTTAAGGTTTGGGTTAAGGGTTGAGGGCTACGGCATGGTGGGCTCCGCATTTGAGGCACTTCACGTGGTGGCACGTGATTGAGGCGTGTCCTGTAGCCAAGATGGTGGACCCAAGCACAAGCCCGCAGAATTTGGAATACAAAAGTCTCCAAAGTGATTGACGTTCTCGGCATTGATCTTGAGCAAGCGTCCCAGGGCTGGCACTCACTGTTGCTCTGAATAAGAACCCTAAAACAAAACTAGGCAGAAGCTTGCAGGACTGACGGCTAAGCGCTGACCACACTGCTGCCATCATTTTTTTCCACTCGTACCCTCACTGCTGGTGTTGGCATGCGCGCGTTATTCTTACGACTGCAATGGTTAGCCGTATTCTTCATTTTATCTCGTCCCCTGGTCTTGTTGTGAGGAGGCTGCATTCTCTGGCCAGGTCTGTCATGTATCTTGATTTATCAGCTCCTGCCCCGCTTAGATGGAATCCCTGTAGTAGCGGTCGGCGCACTACTCAGAAACTTGCACAGTTGCGTCTAACGTCAGTTGCCCAAGCTTAGATGGAATCCCTGTAGTAGCGGTCGGCGCACTACTCAGAAACTTGCACAGTTGCGTCTAACGTCAGTTGCCCAAGCCTACACTGTAGCAGCCACTCCTTGGATGCGTACGACTCCTCTTCTCGAGCCATAAAGTCGAGTTCTGTCCTTGCCAACAATCAAAATTTCACTGCAGATGTGCCGAAACAGTTTAGTATGATGGCTTACTATCATAGAGGGTTTTCCTCCAAGTTCAGCGGTTATTCCCTCACATAACATTTTTGTTAAACAGCAACATACCCAAAGACCCTATCCTAGGCCCCTGGGATGCTCTACACTAATCACTAATCACTTATCAGCATCCAAGGTTCTATCGTCCCCCTTAAGTAGATAGAATATGGGGTATATGGGGATCTTATTCTAATATACCCAAAGCCATATTCCATCTACTTAAGGGGGACTGTACATTGATCTTCATACGCTCCGTAGGAGGCTGACAGGTGATGCCACGCAAGGTTCTCCTGACATAAAGCTGTCTGCAGGATGGCGTCATTGCCATTTCGGGCGGAAACGGCGCCCTGGGTCTGGTGATGGGCGGGTGGATTCTGAGAACGGCCGGGGAGCCTGGAGGGGAAGCAAATTTCAGGGTTGAGGGCAAACCGTTGCATACATCCAACACATGAACAAGCCTTGGGTCTCAAAGCATTGGTATTTGTACAAAAACCTTTTTCCTGCGGACAGGCAAGAATCCGAATTTGAATTTTTTGCAGGAATCAGGAGCTTCTGGGTTTTTGAATCATACGTTTAGATCTGATCAGTTCCTTGACCGTGCCATGCCCAAACCAAGTTGCAACATGTTGCAGACATGTCGCAGCCGGTTTTCCGGCTTGCCTTGCGCTCTCTATGGCAGCGATTGATACATTTGTGGCGCGCACTCTACCTAAACACTTGATTGGAACCTTCAGGGCTTCACGTCCGTTGCTTTCTTGTGGTCCAAGGTGCTCCGTTGGGTTTATCATGCAGCATATGACCAGGATAAGACGGATAAGTCCATCAGGGCCGGAGGTCATGTATATTATCTCAGTCATGAAACTAATACTTTCCACCAACAAATATTTTGGCTGGAAGTCTTTGGATTAATAAGGGTCTCCGAATCATTCATGGGGTTGCGGAGCCCGGCGAGTTTGAACTTGATTGGCTAGAAGAGTTATTGATGCATCTTTGCCGCGGTTTGTTGACAAGCCTAGCGGAGCTCAGTCGTAGAATCTTGCTAGAAGATTCTTGACCGCAAGCCTGATGGCGCGGTATGGTTGGTTCACAGCTCTAACAGGACCCTGCTAAGGCCTAATTACGGAGTTGTATACTACCAGTCTCTTGCCACCGCACCCTCAAAAGGAGGCTTCAAAGGCCACGCATTTCCCGTGCTGGATCTTTCTTAGGACCTTGCGTAGGCGTGGAGTAGTAAGGGAGCGACCAAAAATTGTGGTTTGCCCGCGCCCACGGCCACAGACTATGTTAGGAAGCTCAAATCCCTGCGCCCTGCCAGTGTTTTGTACATCTACATGGCTAGATATAGCCGCAACATCCGCGCATCCATTTTACAAAATGGATGGGCGAAAACTAACCCTCACGTACTTCTTTTGGGCAGGATTTCTAATCTTGGACCCAAAAGTAGTCAAACCCTGTTTGAAACCCCCTAAACAAACCCTAAAAGCCCGTAAGCCCTAAAACAATTCAAAACACGTAAAAACCATTGCGCAAAACAAAAAAACGCCCAACACCCCTATATAGTCCCCCTTAAGTAGATAGAATATGGCTTTGGGTATATTTGAATAAGATCCCCATATACCCCATATTCTATCTACTTGAGGGGGACTATACCCCTTAAGCCCCTAAAACCCTTAAAACCCGAAACCCTGCAAAAACCATAAGCCCTGAAGACCCCTACACCCCAAAAAAGCCTTAACGCCCGTAAAAAAACCCTAAACCCTAAAAGCCCCTAAACACTAAAAAAGCAAAACACTAAAACCAACTTAAACCATAAAAACCACTAAACCCTAAAAACACCTAAAACCCCAAAAGCCCTGCACCCTAAAACTCCTAAATCCTAACAACCCCTAAACCTTAAAAACCCTAAACCCTAGGACATTTACAATCACCAAAAAAGCATCCAAAAACCTTCAAAAACGATTAGAACCACCTAAATAACACTGAGCCCTATACACCACAAAACCCTAAAATGAAGTCAAACCCTAAAACCCTTTAAACCCTAAAAGCCCCTAAACCCTAAACGCCCCTAAACCCTAAAAAGCCCTCAACCCTAAAAACCTCTAAACACTAAAAACCTTAAACCCTAACAACGCAGAACCCAAAAAAATCCCCAAACCTTACAAACCCCTGAACCCAAAATTTGGCATAATGTGTGGGCAAATCACAATATTTGAAGGTAAGGGAGGGGGTACTCCAAACCTCTGGGCCCACGACGCAACCCATTGGAAAGTCCTACCTGACACGGGAACCATTCATCTCATATTCGTCAGGCCAAGCGCCAGGGAGGTAAGAAGTTCAGCATCAAGTTCTTGTCCAGGCTGGTGTTCTTCAGAAGCTGAGCTGAAAGCTCCAGCAGTTGCGCGGGGGCATTCCCGCTTTGCTTGCTCCACTCTCTGCCAGTGACAGCTCCGACAGCCTATGACAGCTGAGACTGCAATTTCAAAAGCCATCATTTCAACCTCCCCAACAGAAGCCCCGAATGCTGGGTTTGAACCGAAAACCACGCCCTGTGTTTTTTCACCCCATCCGCTGCGGCTGATTTCAACAACAAAGATCTCATGGCCGGTAGCACTGGCATAAGTTGGGCTGCACGAAGCATGGTCACAGAAGCAATGGCACATGACCCACATCATCGCCAACAACACAAATGATGAGATTGATCACAATGGCGCGGGTGATGGTGGTGATGATAATGTTGTTGTTGATGATCTTGGTGACGATGATCTTGGTGACGATGATGATGGTGATGATGAGGATGATGATGGTTTGATGATGCTCAAGCATGAGCAGCCTAGAGTTGTGATCAGTTGCACCTGCCTGCGCTATCCTGATGGTGGTGTGATGGCCAGCCGCTGTATGAGTATTTCTACACTTGTGTATCGTCGGTATTCTGTTAGCTGCAGGTGCTGCTTGTTCTTCACATCATTGTGTTGATGATCACCACGCGTGACTATTCTCTTTTTTACTACGTATGGTTGCGCAGCGGCTCGGCTTTCCGTTGTTTTTTAGGCTGCATGGGCAGCAAGCGTAAGTGACCAAGAAGCCCCGGAGGTCAATGAAGATCAGCGACCAGAACATGCCTAACTGGAAGGACCAAGTTTCAGAAGCCGCTGTTAGTTGCTTGTCTAGCCTAGCACATGTCCAACGACCTGGAGTACCCTCAGAAGGCATCGAAAAGCAGTACGTTACCTTTGCTGCCTCCACGATGGAAGCTCATCGCGTTCACTCTTTAAGTAATGGGACGTCGCATGCTACACCTCACAGCACCTGCGCTGAAAGCTTACCCTGAATGTCCAAAGTCAGTGGTCTGCTGCCCCGACTGCAGTGGACTCAACCTGCTTGAACACGCAGGCAGGGTCTTACTTTTGGGCGACCACTTGAAACTTCCACAGCTATGATGGGCCAAGATGTACTCAGATGTACACCTGGAAGCCATGCCATCCCTTCCAAGCACAAGAGCGGCACAGATATCTAAGAACAGTTCAGAAGGGTAGGACCGCTGCAGACTCTACCTCGCAACGCTGACGAACTAGAACCTAGAGGGCTTGATGCCCGGTGCAAATTGGCAGAACGATCTCACAGGAAGAGACCAGTGGGTTTAGTCCATGGGAAGTTGGCAGTCCCAAGAGGTGGTCTATGGTTGCCTGGAGCGACAGCAGCACAAACCCACTAAAACGCACGATATAGCACAAAGCAGAACCGGCTGACGATGGCAACGAAGTTAAGCCCCAAGTCTTCCGGGAAAGAGCACACCAAGCTATCCACTATCCGGTACTTAGCTGGGGATGGGGGAATGAGTTCAGTTTTCAAATTCCCTGCTATTACAGAAACTGCTACAAGGTTCCTGAAAATGATTTTTGATTTCTGTTACCTAGAATCCTAATATTTAGCTGAAATTATACTTTCTACTGGGGTTCCAAATCCCTTAGAGACTGGATCCTGGAAGGAAGTCCAGTCACTTGCAGAGTCACTGGGAATCGAAGTGGAGCAGTCAAAGTGCGACGTGAGCTCCCAGGTGCCATGGATTAGGAATCTATGATGGGACTTATAGTATTTTATTGGGGGATACTATGGTACCCAATAATGGAGAATCAAATGGAAAAGAAAATGGAAAATGAAATGGAAGCTGGGATTATATAGGTTTGGGTTTAGGGCTCCAAATGAGCTATAGTCTAAACTCCTGAAAGAGGGGTTAATATAGGGATTATATAGGGGACTACTATAGGGGTTATTAAGGGGGATACTAGGAGTTTAGACTATAGCTCAAATGGTAGGTTCTTTGCGCACACATGTGGGGGTGCACTTGGGGTTTTCCATCTTTCGCTGACGAATGTTTCTTAGGATTCAGGATCATTGCAGCTTTCTAGCGGCTTCGGGTAGCTGAAGGTAGAATCTTGGGTTGACGTCAGCAATCTCGACCTCCTTTCTCTGAAGCGTCGAAAAGGTAGCCTTCCAAGCCACATCCCCATGGGGTCAGACCACTGAGCCCCAACAAAACTCCTAAACCCTAGCAGAGATTGTTTCCATGATTGGAGCATAGGTTTCTGGTGATTTTCCTGATGGAGTGCTCACGGTGGAAAGACCCAGAAGCATAGCATCTACTCCCATGCCCGTGAAGGTCTGTCAGGGACCCAAGGCAACTCTCCTGATATCTTGGTTTGATTCCGACGACAAGTTAGTACCAGAACCAGAGCCAACGCCAGTGCTATTGCGGCTCACTACTGCGGCCCCTACTGCGATTGCTGCTGGTCTCAGTCTGTTTCTGCTACTACGATGACAAATGCGGCTACTATTGTTATTTTACTGGCTCTGTCACCACCACCAACAACACTGCTGCTGTGCTGCTGCTAATACGATTTTTATTAGTACTACTACTACTACTACTACTAGTACTACTAGGGGAACGTCGCGTAGCTGACGGTGTTTTTTCTCCACTTCCGATTAATTTTGCAGTGGTTTCGGCCTCATTTTGAAATTTATGGAGGGGGCGGCGTTTTTTTTGAAAAAAGGCACAGCGTTGCTACCTTCGCGTTTCTGGTGAGGGGGGGTAATTACGTTCGTGACGACAGTAAGCAGAGTAAGCTCCGAAAACAAACCTCACAAACTTTCAAAACACCTTTGACAAAGCCTGTCTGAGTTCTAGCTGGGGGTGTTACTACGTTCCTGACGACAGTAAGCACAGCAAGCTGCGAAAACAAACCTCACAAATTTTCGAACACCATTGACAAAGCCTCTGTGAGTATCAGCAAGGGGGGGTTACTACGTTCGTGACGACAGTAAGCACAGCCTGGGCCGGGGCTTTTGTCCCACACGCGGTTTTGCCCCGGTCCTAATGGACAGTAGTTTTTAAGTGCTTTACACATGGATGCTTTGGGGATAGTAAGCACAGCAGGCTCCGAAAACAAACCTCACAAACTTTCCGCGCTGAAAGCAAAATGGCTGCCAGACGGCAGGTTCCTCAAATCAAGTAGTCTGCCACCCCCCCAACTCATGACCTGTCCGCTCCAAAACTGCTGGTGAGCGCAGGATTGCTGCACCCGAAATGCACATTAATGCACCGTCGCCAACGGACGTGCACCGACTACTATCTACATCTACATCTACTACTACTACTAC